CCTGCCTTTTTTCTTCTTACAAAGAGCCCAAGATGGCTGACAAGGTTCTCCTCCTCTCCATTTTATCTTCACAACAGTGTGGGGCAGGTTAGACTGAATGTCACTGGCTGGCCAAAATCTTCCAGGGAGATTCAAGTGAGGACTAGAACCCAGATCTCTCTAGTCCCAGTCCAACTGGGAGCCAGTGTGGCACACTGGCTTCCAGCTGGAATGTACTCACATTCTGGCCACACAAGAACTGTAGCCGACTGATTGCAAAGTGATGTCCTCTGCCAAGATCTCCCTGCAGGAACAGGAAGGATGGAGGATTCAAGACGGAGAAAGGAAGTACTCCTTCACGCAGTTCAGAGTTAGACAATGGAATCTGCTACCACATGATACAGTGTTGGGCACCAACTTGGAAAGCTTTGAAAGGGTACTCAGTCGATTCCTGGCGGAGAAAGCTATCGGTGGCTACTAGTCCTCATGGTTGTGTGCTGCCTCCAATATCAGAGGCAGTGTGCCTCATTGTGTGCTTCAGAACAGAATCAGGAAGGTCCTGTTGCACTCGCGTCCTGGCTCTGGACTTCCCATTGGCATCTGAATGAACAAAATCCTGGACTAGCAAGGTCTTTGATCTGATTCAGCACAGCTCTTCACTTTTATGTTCCTAAGCAAAGATGTGTATAAGTAGAATTTGGTGTTATACAGTGCCTCACTGACTCTTAGGCCTCAAAAAACAGTGCAGTCCTTAAAATGTTTGATGAGAAATAAGCTCCATTGAATCGAATGGAATTGTTTTTTATTTGCAGCAGGAATCACAAGATTTGAGCTTTGTAGTAGAAGAAGAGAATTACTGCTTACAGCAGACCTGAACACCATGCAGAGCTTTTCCTTTCCTGGTTTTCTACTATATATCCTCTATGAAGTGCAACTGAAGTTACACAAGTAAGAGCGTGCCTTTTCTTTCACTTTCAGAAGTAGTATTCCATTTTCCCTCCTCTGAAAAACAACCAGGAAAGTGCTCTTTTTAAAAATCAAAGCAAAACTGCAAGATCATGATGTCATAAGAATGCACAACCAAGAATAGAGTAAGACAAACTGTTAGGCATAATTACAAAAGGAACTTAAAATAAATTACTCATATACTACTGCTCATGTACAAATCTATGGTACAACCACATTTAAAGAGATGGAAAAAGAACAGAAAAGGCAACTAAAATTATCCAGTGGCTGAAGCAACCCCTTTTTCTGGAAAGGCTGCAGCATCTGGGATTGTTTAGCTTAGAAAAAAGTTAAGGGAAGACAAGATAGAGGTGTACAAGCTTATGCTGTGGTGAAATAGAGATTTTTCTCCTTCTTTCCCAATACTTAGCATCCACAGTCATCCTATGAAGCGGATCGGTGGGAGTTTCAGGTGAGATAAAACATCTTACTTCTTCACACAGCCAGAGTGAACAATGGAATTTATTTCCGTGAGATGCCATGAGTGATGGCCACCACTTTGGTGGGCTTTCAACAAGATTTGGATAAATTCACAAAGATCCTGATGGGATACCTCCAGTATAAAAGATGGCATGCTTGCACCAGTCGCTGAGGAACATGGCGGCAGGTGCAGTTGCTTGTGGATTGCTGTGGTTCTCCACTGTGTGAACAGAAAGCTGAGCCCTTAGTCTGATTCAGCATGCTTCATTCTATGCTTGTAATTAAAAGTGCACCATAAACGCCTAGTGAAGAAAAGTTCTAGGTTCAAGCCAACATTTCTCAGAAAAATTCTAATATTTTTCCTCCCTTCCCCTCAAAAATAAGAGACCCCTTTGCAAATTTTATCCAAATTTTCTTCACCATTTTTTGTGGTGGCCACCTTTCCTTCTTTCAACCCGCTTGTCCAATGTTCTGGAATGACACTATGGACGGACTATGATCTGTGGACATTATGGTAGAATCAAAATTGGGACCAAACTGCAGGCAAGATGCAGCTGTTGCTACTTGTAGAGGCAGCACAAAACACCAAAAATCCTTAGGGGGGAAAAAGAAAGAACTTTGGCCAGTGTCCTATCTGGAAAATTTCATCTCCTCCTGATACAATTAAATGAATTGTGCTCTCTCTCCCTTTTTCTCCCTACAAAAGGCTGAAGAATTTTGAGAGAAACCTGCAGTTCTTGTTTCCCAACTACCCAAGCAAGGAAAAGCAGTTAAGTGGAAGGCACTTTTGTTTCACCTTACCTGTTTATATTCAATCTAGCAGAAGTCTTTTGGATCCATCGGTACAAACACTGCTGTGGTAGTTCTGCCATGACATTCTGCAGAATGCCGATTGTGGATCAGAAATGGTATTTCAGCTATGTACAGCAGCCTTCCTCAACTCAGTCTCCTCCTGATGTTGTGGACTACAGGTCCCATAAGCTCCAGTCCGTGTGGTTGCTACCGGACTCAGCCAGTCAACAACTGGGGCAAACCCACATGAACCCCAGACCCAAGCCAAACAGAGCCTGAGATGAGACTTAGAGCCAAAATCAGCTTTATTCTAGTGCACTATAGAATAAAGGGAGACGAAAGGGGACATTCAGCCCAAAGCAGTGTCTCTAAAGTTGCACCCCGGAATATGCATTTTATACCCTAGGTAACCAATTAGGTCACCTAATACACATCTAATGCATCGATACATCAGTGTATGCACCCCCTCCCATGCTGGAGAAAGAGTCCTTTCTTCTGTCAAGGACCAGACATTTCCCATGTCTATTTCTTATCTGCTCGAGATTCACACAGGCTTGCCATGTTCTTACTCCCTGCACATTTGCAACTTTCATGGTGGCTAGAACCAGTGTCCACTGTCCCTTTGATTACTGTATTCGTGGTCAGGCTAGCGTGTTAGCTGTGGGTTCCACAAAGTTCATTTTGTT